CTGGGATTAAAGGCGTGCACCACCACCGCCCGGCCTGGAATCTTAAAAGTTCTTATTAATAAAAACAAACCTGAGCCAGGTATTGGGTTGAACGCTGGAAGATCAGAGAGACAGAACAAGCCACAGCTACCTCACCTGGCCAACTTCTCAGCTGATCTTGTTTCCTCAGACTGGAGGCCTCTGTGTCCTCATATCCAAATGTCCTCATGTCCTCAGCTCTCAGCTGAACTGTGCTGCTCAAAACCTAAAAGCTTAACCAGCCAAATGCTTAACCAGCCAAATGCTTCTAGTTTCTGGTCCTCACGCTTTAAATACCTTTTTGCTTTCTGCCATCACTCCCTGGGATTAAAGGTGTGAGTCACCATGCCTGGCTGTATCCTTGAACACATGGATTTCTGCCTCTGGAATGCTAGGATTAAAGGCATGTGCTACCACTGCCTATCCTCTATGTTTAATATTGTGGATGTTCTGTCTCTGACCCCAGATAAGTTTATTAGAGTGCACAATATTTTGGGGAACACAGTACCACCATACACAAGCTTCTATGGGGCTCAATCTCAGAGAACATGGCAGTCAGCTTTTCTTCCAGCAACCATGAAGGCCAGCAGATGTGAAGTGCTATCATCTAGGAAGCTCACCTGAGAACTGGTGTGCAGTTTTTCTGTGAGGTCAATCATGTGGATATAGTGAGTACTATACAGTACTCAAATGGCTGGCTTCAGTATCCATCCCCTCTGTGTCCCATAAGGAATACATACACTAGCAGGTGGCCCAAGGCCCCAACTGAGCCCATTCTTCTCAGGAAGGATGCTCCATGCACATCAAGATCCTTCTCAGGAGTAGCCAAAGGCAAGCACTGTCTTTCTCACATGGTACGGTATACATTGGTTTCTCTGCTCCCTGGTCCTGGATGAGACTCTGTGGAGCAGGAGTCTGCTACAAGGAAAGGAGTAGTTTAAGGTCTGCCAAGCCCAGGATATGGGCTTTGTCTCTGAGAGATGGGGCCCCTGGTTTATTCCTGGCCACAGTAGAGCCTGCTCTCATGGCCACCTCTGTTTGCTGCCCTTTGACTGTGGCTTTTCCAGGTCATTGCCACCATCCCCACCAGCCAGCTCAAGTGCCTGAAGGAAGCAGGACATGGGCCTGGGAAGGACGAGATGACTGATGAGGAGCTGGCCGAGGGAGAGGAGGAAATCGACCATGCTGAGCGAGAGCTCCGCAGAGGCCAGATCCTCTGGTTCCGGGGCCTCAACAGGATCCAGACACAGGTAAGCTGCTGTTCCATGTGACTGTTTTGCTGCCTTAAAAAGCAGGCAAGAGACAGAAACTGGACATACAGACCCCAAAGCCAGCAGGAAACTCCCTGGATCTGGCCCCCAAGTATACAGAGGCAGTGTCTAGTTCCCCTCCTATACATAGAGGTGCCCACCCTTGGCTGGCCACCCACTTAGATCACCTCCCCCTAACACTTCCCTCAGTTCCCAGGTAGCTTCTCTCATAGCTGAATAATAACATGTGCTAGCAGCTAGTGGCTCTCTCAGGGCTACAAACCAGCACTGTCTGCTTTTCTTGGTAAGAGCTGCTCAGGTAATAGACAAGCTGCATTTGGGTGTGTAGGAGGAAAATGTCCCTTTCACAGAGCCCTTGGCTAGCTCTCTGATCACTAGAGTCTGATGTAATTACTGTGCAGGACCAAGTTGGCCCAAATCTCCATAGGCTAAGCTAGTCGAGGCCAAAGCCATCAACTATAGTTCCCCAAAACATCTGACTGCCAACAAGAGGCAGTAGTAAAGGCTTCAGAAAAAACCCATGTGCCAGGCTACACTGCTCTCTGCCCCAATCCTTTCTTGGCCAGCTTTCTTACTAGAAGGATCTATACTCGCTGCCTATTTTCATATTCCCCTCACACCCTCTCATGATTGCACTGGCCACCACTCCCACTAATGGCTCTCACCACTGTCTGCCAAGGCCTTCTTGCACTCCATGCTTCCCAGCTGCCCTCTGGGACTGTTGCTGGCCCTGCTCATACTGACAGCTTGCTATTCCTTCTGAGTTTCCATCTTCTCTGTCTTTATATTCCTGGTATCTCCACCTCCCACTCCATTCCTGCTCTCCCATGCTGAAAATCCCTGGGAGAGCCTGCTAGAGAACTGTCTGAGCCCAAACACCCCACCAGGTCACCAGACCTCCTCACATTGCAGCCTCCTGGACTGACCTGTAGGCAATTCCCCATGGCCTTGCTGGGATCCTCTAAATTACCTTGGCACTTTTACTCATTGCCTTTTTCTCATCCAAGGCCTTGGCTACCCTCTCTCTGATGCCAGTCTCACTACCTCTGTTGTAGGTACAATTACTTTTCCTCTCTGGGGACTTACCAGCTAAGGCAGAATCAGCTGGGTAGATTCTCCTTGACTCTGTTTGGCAACTCATTCACTGGGACAGTACTTGATTTCACATCCCTCCCCATGTATTCTTCCAGCTGTCTTGCCACACATGGCCCAGAACTCATACTCAGGCTGTCCTCAGGGCTCCAAGGTACACACAGCTACTCCAGTACAACCCATAGTGATCTAATGGTATCTATCCTGAGAGTGCCCCTCTTCTCCCTTTTAGGCTCTGTGGGTATGCCTGCCACTGGGATCATTCCTTGCCTTCCATCTGTCTTTGTTCATGCCTGCTCCTCTGATGCCACCCTGAGGCCTGTGGAGCTTATCTCCATTATCCCCAGGATGAAGTTTCAGCTTCTGACTGTGGTCTTCGAGCTCCAGCTTCTTGGCATCACCCTACTCCTCTCTATATATCCCTATGACTCTGTGCTGCTTTTCTGGATGTACACCCTGCCCACCCACACTGCTGTGCCTCCCTGCTTGCTGCTGCGTACCCTCAGGGCTCATTTTCCATGCTATAAAAGCCTACTTAAAGGTTGCCAAGTCTATGCCTTCTCACATACTACCCCCTCCTACCACTATGGGCCATCTGTACAACTGAGGCCAGGACACTGAATCTGAGCATGCCAGAATTCCTTGGGGAACTTACTTAGAGAGCAGGATCCTTCAGGACTGGGTGAGGTGGCACCAAAAAAGTCCAAGTTGAAGGCATTCCTCAAGGACCACGCATCCTGAGAACCAACTCCAGTGTGTCCAGGGAGGGATATACTGGGTCCAAATCTGAGCCATGTTACCCTAGCTATGATTCAAATGGATCCCGAGAAAAGGGGAGCCACCATTAGATCCCTAGCCCAAGCCTCCTCTCTCCATGGGGTGAGCCAGTGCCTTCAACACAGTGCCCAGGACAGGCATGGCTGCAGCATAAGTAGCTTTGACTTGTTTTCTGTAATAAATGTTTACTCACTAGCATAAATGCATAGCAAATATCAGAAAACAGCCCTCATATCTTCCCAATGTGCATTTGGCCACCTAACTGTACCTTCCTGGAGACTATGACTATGACCACTCCCAGTACCCTATCCTGATCTGATTCAGGGCAGATCTTAACTGTCATGCTCCAGTTCTGATGCAAAGCACAAGAATAGAGTACAGCAGTGCCCTGACTCTACAAGATAGAGTTAGCATTCCTACCTGCTGAGACAGCAACCCTACCCCAACCTAGTGTCAGTGGTAGCCTGGCCACCAATGTATATTGTATCTTTGTGTGTCTGTAATCTCCTGGGTATGCCACCACTGCCCAACTAGAAGTGGGTCCCACCACTTGGAGTCTTTGTGTTCCATGTCATTCTACTGTTCCATGCCAATTTATATGCTTTGCAAGCAAGGAGATGGGACTCCAGGGAAAGAGGGAGTGGCCCAAAATCAGCCAGTGAGAGCCAAGGATAGTACAAGTTCCTCAAGCACACTTCTCGGCCCTCAGTAAAGCCACACTGGTTCCCCCATGGGATCTCAATTCCCATGACTTTTCAAGGTGGCTTTATCATGTCAGAGTCACCATACCTCTCAAGAATACTGAACCAGACACTTATTCACTATTTGAATCAAATAGAATAAGCTCAACTTATTCTATTTGATTCAAAAAAACCTGCTTGTAAAAACAGAACTAAAGCCTGTGGAAGGCTCTTCAGGTTGTATGTGTTTTCTAGGCAACTGCCCCAAGATTTCTGGATCTTGTGAACCACAAAATTGCTCCCCGGATTTCAGAGGCCTGCACAACATTTTCTGTTACAAAGTAACTTGATGCCCGCTCTCACCACTGTTCTATACTAATGTATCAATGCACCAGATGCTAGGGTGCTGTTCCACAATAAAAGAGAGTGCCTCAAACCTAGAACATGTAGCTTTTTGAATGTTCATGATGTGGTCTGTCTTTTTTGCATTCCATTATAAATTAATGAGACTCTTCACCAATGACTGAGCCCTTGTTCCTGGCCAGTGCTGAGGCCTCTGGTGGGGGTAGGGTGGTGATGGTGGTATTTTCATAGATATGGTTATCCCACGGGGACATCACAGAAAACATCATGGAGACTGATGCAAAACTGAGGCAGCAAAGGCAGGTTTCCCATCCCTTGTCTTTTCCGTAGCCTAGAAACACTGAAATCTAAAGAAGCAGCCCCACACCCGAGTCTGCAACACTAACACATCAAACATCTTTCTCCCATGAAATACTCAACCACGTGAACAACATTCCTCACAGATGCAGTCACAGCCTCAGAGCCTACCTTCTCTTGAGGAAAAGAGTGAGAAAGTGGGTCACGCTGGGTGAAAAGCTGTATTGGGCAGGTTGTATGGAAGGATGATAAGTCTTTCCACAGTGGGTCCCAGGTTGAAAGACATTTTGTTTGGAGGAAGGTGTCAACAGTGAAGCTGCTTCTTTTGGAGAAGCCCTGTCAGAAAGCCAGCGGAAACTGGAAACCACTGACTTCCCACTGCAGAGCTTTGGGTGGACCAGGAAGTAAAGGGTCTTTGGACTTCAGAAATACATGTTGGCTTGTCTGCTTATATTATTCAGTGAACTACATGGTACTTTCCAGAAGATGGATCCACCCTCAAAGATTCTCTCCCGACTGAGGCCATTCTCTGAGAGGAGGCTGCCAGTGGGCCTTGCCTCTGGCCTCCCAGAGTCTAGGCATGTGGTCTCCCAGAGCCATAACACTGGATATGGTTGCTCAGCTACAGTTCTTTCAGACCCTACTTCCTGTGTTTGTCACAATGTCATAGTCAAAGCCAGGGTCAGAAAATCCAACGACAATGAGTCAGGAGGCTTCTAGCAGGATTTATCCACAAGGCCCTCCCATGGGTCTCATCTTCCCCATATGTACTTCCCTTTCATCTTCTAGGAAGCTCAAAGGGTAGGAACGGGGCAGAAGGCACAGGTGTCCCCCGGTCCTCCCAGCCTCCATGCCTGGGGGCTGTAGGAAGAGTTCTGACAAGACAAAGCCTGTGCTCTTGGAAGCCCCTCTTCTGCCTAAATATATCTTCTGCTGAGGGTCCCCCTTACTTCAATGAGCTGCAGAAATCTGGGGGATTATCTATCCCCCACACCAGTGAAGCAGGACAGAGCAAGAGACCCTCTGCTAAGAGGACCATGAACAAGGGCAGTGATTTCCCAGCAATCCAGGCAAGAGCCTCCAGCCCACATACCACTGGAGAATGCTTCCACTTTCTAATAAGAGTATGTCATATCCCTCAGGTGTGTTGGGGCGGAAAAAATGTTCAGAACTACTGAAGTAGGATAAGGAAGTATTTCCAGACACAGGTACTTATTGACAAGTGGCTCTGGATGAGCATATTGTGAACGCAAGTGACTGTCTATAAAATGTTTGCAGTGTGTTTCTACCGGTGACCTTTCCCTCCCACACTTCTGACCACTAACCATTTGCCCAGCAAACCCTCTCTCAGTCATGGCTTTGTCAAAAGCATTGTCAGCCTCCAGGGATGGGGCTGACCTAGCTGAGGCTTTGCTGGCCCCATATGTCCCTAGTGTGGCCCCTGCCCTCACCCAGCCCCACCCTGTGTGGTAGCCTGGACCTCCATGCAAGCCAACCTTTATCTCATTTTCTCTCCCACAGATGGAGGTAGTGAGTACCTTCAAGAGAAGCGGGTCATTTCAGGGTGCTGTGCGCCGGCGGTCTTCAGTCCTCAGCCAGCTCCATGACGTAACCAATCTTTCTACCCCTACTCACGTAACTCTCTCTGCCGCCAAGCCCACCAGCACTGCTGGCAGTGAGTCTTGACTTCCCTTTTCTCTCATAAATGGCACCTGGGGGAAGATAAAGCCTCCCCGACTCTGCCTTCTCTTTTCCAGTCTTGCATTTCTGCTCACCGTGGCTTTCTGTTCCTTCTTTACTGCCCTGTCCAGTCCTTCCTGCCAGATGGTGTCTCTCTCCAAAGCCATACTCTCTTATGAAATGACCCCACAGCACTGCCGGGCCTTTCGTCCTTTGCTTTGTTTGGGTTTTGGTTTGCATTTAGTACCCCTGCTACCATTGGTTTTCTTTTCTTGAATTTGTCTGCATGTACCCATGGTTCTTCATGAACTCAGGCTTCTTCCAGTGGTGTCTGGTGTCAGGCTGGGACTTGCTCCATGTTCTGGGGTGAGAGTCAGGAAAACATGTCACCCAGGGCTACCCTTCTGGGGTAGGCAAAGGCCCACAGTGTGGTATCATTTGCAGCAGAAGAATCCAGCTAATCTCCTTGGAGAAGAAAGTGACAACTTCCAGCATTCTCCTTGAGGTGGCTTCCAAAGGATGCCCCTGTCTCCAGTCCCCAGGTGGGCTCAGTGGTGACCAAGAGCGCCTCTCCTGAGCAGCTGGTGCCTGCCCTGTAGGCCCCTCCCTGAGCCAGGATCTGTTAGAGGAAGCCTGATAACAGGAGCTCAGAGGCCAGGCAGGTGCTGTTTTGTGTGTCCCCAAGCATCTTGCTCTTTCCAAACAGGCCTCAGTACTGGAGGATATGAATCCAATCTTGTGCAATCCTCTCTACTCCTTCCTCAGAGAAGCCAGGACATTTCAATGACAAGTTCCCACCATGCAATTCACATTTTGAAGAGAACCCTGGGGTTGGCCTGACTAGATAGAAGCTTCCACAATTGCTCACATCTTTTTATAAAGACAAAGAAGAGGACAATAGACTGCTGAACCTGTTAACCTACAGTGCCCCAACAGGAGAGAATGCAGGCAACCACATGGAGGCGGGGGTCACTCCTATGGGGGTTGCCTATTTTGGTAACAAAGTCAAGAGGTTTCAAAAAGTGAACAGTAAACCTTCGAGTATGAGTCCAGGGCTCCTGCTGGGATGGTTCAATGCTAAGTCTTTCCTTTCCTTCCAGTGAGTTCCCAGCAGCTCCCTTCGGGAACATGACACTCCCACGCAGACGGAAGGCCGTAACTACTTCACCTTTTTCCCATCACAGACTCTCCGTGTTTCATTTTGCTTGCTTTCTGTTCTTTTCTTTCTTTCTTTCTTTTATTTATTTTTTTTTAGGAACTGGTGAGAGGTCCCCAGTGGGAGGTGCCCCTCCTCTTCCTTAAGCTTTTCTTTTGGGCTGCTCTGCCTTTTACAGAAAGGATAAGGGCCCCTCAGGAACAGCATAGATGTATGTGCACAGACATCCCTTCTCCAAACGACAGGCCACATGCACCTCCAGCTTGTACACCCCTTGGACCACCCACCTGGGCCACAGGTATGGATTGACACATGTCACTGTTGGTCTAGAGAGCAGCCAGTGCTCCTGGCATACCCAAATGGGACCAAGAAAGATCTCAGGGATACTTTGCATGCCAGTAGGAGGCTCTACCAAATCAGTTAAGGATAGAGTGGCCCGTGACCTTCCAGCACACCTTGGCCATGCCCAGGTGGGCAGCAACAACTTCTTCCCTCTAAACAATATGGGGAATGGATGTAGGACACACGGATCTGCTCAGCCCTTTTCTCCCCACCGACTTCCAACACATTTTTCAATGTCATCATCTTTCTGCACTTCCCATCTTTCTACCTACCCACCTGTCTGTCTGTCTATCCATCCATCTACCTGTGCACCTATTACCTTAGGGGGAGGGCAGTTGACAAGACTCTTCTATGTATGCCACCCCCCCCCAAGCCTCTTCCAAAGCTCTGGTCTTAGCTCTCACTGGAGCCGATCAGCCTCTGAGGCCCCTCCTCACCTGTCTCCACTACCTAGGGTGAAGCCTACTGCCTCTTCAGCCCCCATTTCTCCTATTTCATCCCTAAAGATGGTCTTTATTTTCTTCCTTGGCCCATAGTACCTTGCTTTTCTCCCTCCTTCCTTTCATGGTTATCTGTTCCCCCCCTTCCCACCTTTGGGTCCCAACAGTTCCTGGTAAGTACAGTGGGAGAGACACTACCCTCATGCTGTTTGTTCATGAGCCATTCCAGGGGAACCTAAGCAGATGTGAGAGGCCAGTGGCAAGGTCTTCTGAGGAGGGAGCTGTTGTGAAGTTATAGGAGTCCCGTTTCCCAACAAACCAAGGTAGGCAGCCTAAGAAAGATTCACTATGGAGGAACAAGCAGGATAGGTCACCTGGCAACTTCAAGTGGGATGTGCTTTGCTTCTGGAAGCCACTGGCCAGAATTTATTCTTGCCACATATACAGCAGTTCCATCTAGAGTTCAGAGCCTAACTTCTGAATTCTGAGGGCTCTCACAAATCACTGCGTCCAGTGATGCATCCTCATAAGGCAGGAGAAGACAGGTGTCTACAAGGGCAAGGACCTACCCAGGACCCCATAGGCAGGCAGGCCTGGCAGAGTGACCACTAGCTCACCCTACCCATCTCCTTGGAACTCTTCAGAGAACCAAAGCTGCTTGAAAGTAAAGCAGGGTGAAGGCCATGATGGAGTTCCCCTGATAAACATGCAACATTGTGCAAGGTGTTTTGACCACAGCTGTCCTGACTATCCCTAGAGGTCACAAGGTTTCGTAAGGAGAAGCCATGGTCCCATATATGAGAAATTTTCCATCCTCTTCACTTGCTCAAGGCCAGATTGCCTTTCACCCACTCAGAGTCCAGAGGACTGTGCCTATAGTTCTTGGGTACTGGATAAGCTTCCTGTTGAAAGGTATTCCCACTAAGAGCCTTAGGCTCTCTAGGGATAAAAGTCACTCATCCGGTGCACTGGGGCCAATGCAAACAGTGGCCAGAGGGAGAGGTGACCAGGATTCTTTGGGCTCAATATATTCTCCTCATCCTTTCTAATGTCCCACACTGTGCATGCATTCTCTCTCTCTCCCTCTCTCTCTCCTTCCCTCCCTCTCTCCCTCCCTCCCTCCCTCCTTCCCCCATCTCCTGCTAATGATTCTGGACACAAGAGTCCCTTCACATCCCCACATTCCCTTTGCACAGTCTGAGCTGGCCAAGACCTCCTCACTCCTAGCTCCAGAAAGGCCTGTGCAGCCTCTACCCTACTCAGCCATTTTTCTTCATTGCCTGACCTCAAGGCTGTCCCCATCACAGCCATTTCATTAATAATCCTCTGGGTTCAGGGTGTATTTTGTCTTCCCCCTCATAGCTGCCACCTCATTTCTTGTGACCTGGACCATTACCTGAAGGCCAGCCTATCTGGATGGCTCAGGAAACAATGGAGCTTCGGAATCCTATTTTCTGTGGTGTCCATCATGCCCCTTCTCACCCCAGCCACACTCTCAAACACTAAGGCTGCAGGACTTCACTCTCCTAGTGAGTATCAAGAATCTCAAAAGGGTATCTGGAGAGGGATTTATGCAGTCATCCAGCTTTGCTAACAAGCAACAAAAACAGAGCACTAAGTATCTCCCTCCTAGTAGGAACTGAAGAAGCATGATCTTTGGAAACACAAGCCTGGATCCTGGCATCACTGAAGCCTCTCTGGGCTCCAGCGCCCATAAGTTCTTTTGTGTCTCTTTCCCATGGGAACACACAGATACCCTTGACCCTCTCCAGCCAAACACCCAAGTCTATTCCTCTTCATTTCACCCTGGGAACCCTCTCATTCCAGCCAGCAGCCAAGTCCAGGCCATCCTTAGGGTAGCAGCACTGGGCCTCTATACTCGAATGTTTACTGTCTCAGTAGTTTGAGATAAGATACCTTCTGACGCAGGACAGCAAAGATTTGAGCACCATATCACCAGAGGGCCTTCTTCCAGGTTCTGATGAAGAATTTGGAAACTGATCACAACAGTTGTTTCATTTTAAAGGGTTTTTGCAACATGGAAATCTTTCACCCATTGGGGGAAGGGAGCTAAAGCCAGCCAGGTAAGCCCCTGCAGCTTTGCTTGGATATAAATTTCCAGAGCCCAGGAAGGCATGCATGCTCATCACACTCTCACACACTCAACAAGGAAGGAGCTGGAAAACAGTCTTAAGTTTGCTCCCTTGTCAAAATATGAATCAATGTTGAGCCACATCACCCCACGTGGGTTTGTTCCCTGTGAGAGTGTATCGGCATGTTTGCAGCTGTTGGACACTGGCTCCACACTAGGAAAGGCATCAATCAGCTCTCTTGTTAGGGCCCTGTCCTTCCCTTTCTGGAACCACAGGCTAAATCCCAGGGGAACAAGCTTCCAGGAAATCACTAGAGCACACAACGAAATGCAGCCCTGGTCTGAGGCCCTGCAGGTAGGTGCTGTGAGTTCTGCCACGCAGCCAGCAACGGAGAGCTTTTGGAATTTATTCTAACCCTCCCTACCCCAACCTTCCCTGCCCACCCTTACTCCATTCCACCACTACAGCTGGCCTTGGCTACGAGAAATGCTTGGGGCAGGCCGCTGCTGTCAGGAGCCAGTCTACTTTCCATGTCCTGAGCAGGGCATGACAGTTATAACTTACAAAGGCAGTTGAAGCAACTTAAAAAACCAGCCAGCTTCTCCTCAGTTTTACACTTACTGGGCTAGAATGCCAAGGCACCTGAAAGGTCTTTTTTCTCAAGAAGGTTCTGGACTCGTGGTTGGAAAGAGCAATGGAAAGGTGAAGAAGGAGTCAGACAGAAGTATGTGAGTTCCATGAGCCTTAGCAGCTGAGAGTGAGCAGAGAGCATGGGCAAACCTCCTGGAGGACCTCTGGTAGCAGTGGCCAGGTTGGCTTTCTCTCTGGCAGCAGGCATTTTCTACTGTTGCTTTCGCCATTGTGATTCAGGAGCCTTTGCTTTTTTTTTTTTTCTCATTTTATTTATTTTTTTTCATTCTTGTTACTGAGATGAGCCTTCCCTCAAATCTCTCACTTAGTTCCCAGCTTTTACACTCTTGTTCTACCTTCCACCCACAGCCTACCATCCACATGGAAACTCCAGACACACACACACACACACACACACACACACACACACACACACACACACACTTGAGAGTTTAGGCAAGAACATGTGTAACCCGAGAAGGCTTGAAGCTCCCATCCTTTAGAGCATCCTCGATTCCTTCCTACTGCAGCTTATGAACTGGGGTTTGGTCTGCAGCATATCCACCAGTCCTGTGCCAAGTTAGCAGCCTTTGTTCTGCATGCCCTGCTGTCTGAGCCATATAGAGAGGAGACGTTGTGAGTCTTCTCTGGGCAGGAGTTGGTGATCATCAAAGGGATTGACTGTGGATGGTCATAGGCCTCCTAGGAGAGGTGAAGGGACCATTCAAAGCATTAGGGGTGCCATTCGAGGTTCCAGGTTACTCAGGACAGACTCTGAGTTTGGTATGGAAAGAGAAAGGGCAGCTGTGGTGGATATAGGAGAAGCTGTGTTGGATTTAGGGTTTAGGACTTGGTCAGAGCCCAGCAGGTGTTGGGGTTGGGAGCTTTACTTGTTGCAGATGGTTTCAGCTACCTGACTACAGCCAAGTGGGTGGAGAACTCTAGAGGGTGACACTCCCATCGGAGACAGAAGCAAGGACGGACCAGATATTTTATACCCACTCACTGTCTGCTGAGTATGAGCAGCTCACTGGATGTTGGGGCCGCCATAGAACCCTACAGACAAAGTCCTATCTTTTGGGGAATTGTTAGCTTCCACTGAGAGGAGACAGAAGAGAAAATAACTATTGTTACTGACCGGGTGCTGGGGGGAACAGGGTAGAACTTACTGAAAAGGTGAGGAGGGAGTCCTGAGGTTTACTGAGGCCTCTGAGCCACTGACTCTTTGTGGTAGAACAGACAGATAATGCCCTGTGAGAGGAACATGTCGGGGCTAGAGCTAGTAAAAGAGATGGAATGAGAGAGCCCAAGGCAGGCTCTTGGTTGGGGCCATGGGTCTTCTTCTGTAGGAAATGCAGTTAGTAATTTCCTTGCATTGGAAAGGATTAACCAGCTGCCACGTGGAGGATAGACTGTGAGGTAGCATAAGGGTAGCAGGGAGACTATTAAAAAAATGTCCCTGCAGCAGTCAGCTTGAACCTGGTGTCACGGCAATGGTGGTGATGGGTGTGTGTGAAGTGGAAGATTGTGGATGTCATTTGAAGAGAGGGAATGGTGGATTATTGAGAGCTGAGGATATGTGAGGGAATGAGATATGACTCAGACACCGACATCTAGAGCTGAGAGAGCAAACGGAAGAGAGGTGCAATGGAAACTATTGGTAGGCAGCAGCCCCTGAATATTAGGGAAGGGTCAAGGGGAAAGTGGCCAGGAAGGACCTCAGGGGAGGTTGAGGGAGCATCAAGTACTTTGCTTGGTTAGGGACTGCATTGCAAAAAATAAAATATCAAAAGTCTTCTTGGGACACTAGCCATGATGGGTTGCTGAAGTGAAGCAACAGCTGAATGGGACTGTGGAAATGGGGTAGCGAACAAGTAACTGGTGATGCGTGGGTGATTTATCTTTCCTAGAGACATCTTTTATGTAAAATTATCCTGCAGAACTGGATCTTGTGCTGCATGCCTGTCACTGCAGCACGGGGTAAGGGGGCAGTGCTGAAACAAGGGATCTGGAGTTTGAAACCAGCCTGGTCTGTATGGTGAAACCCTGTCTCAAACAAACAATCACACAAAAAATCCTCTGTCCTACAGGTAAATGGGCTGTAAATTAAAGTTCAATGATTTCCTACCCCCAGTCAGCACCCAGGCTACTTCCGTCGCTTACAAGAATATTCATAGTCAGGTAGGGAAGTGACAAGGTCTGACTCGGTGACCAAAAAGCCTGGAAACATCATCTGGACATGGGACATTGCAGGCCACCATAGGGTCATCAGACCCTTAGTCAGAAGCTGTGTGTCAGGCACAGAGGCAGCATGGAGGCCCAAGGCAAACAAGAACATCAGCTTTCAAGCAGCACATGGAGGCTGTAGTGGAGGAGAGGAACACTGGTGAGATGTTTAGGGATTGGTCCCATTGGACAAGCTGACAGTGAAGTGTGTAAAGAGGATGGGCTAGGAGCTGGTGAGGATGGGAGAGTGAGAATTCCAGTGGGCCTCCAACAGAGACACCTGGGAGCAGTAGGAGTGAGATGTAAAAAGGAGGCCTGGATGGATGTGGTACTGAAAGCATTAATGACATCTAGGTGGTCTGATGGGCCTTGAGGGTGCTGAAGGCCCTGGGGAGGAGTAGAGGTAGAGGAGCTTTGAGCATAGCACACTGAGAAACCCAAGCAGGAGGCTGTGAGCTGGGGCATGGCATGGGCTCAGCTCAGCCTTGGCTGCAGCTTGGCCAGAAATACCAAACTCCAGGTCTGAAAGAAGGAATCCCAGGGTCTTGGAGATACGTTCAGGCACCTGGCACAAGTCCTGCCTTCCAGAACAGACCACTCTTCTGGGCAGTTGCTGCTTTGCTGATTGAGATCAGCCTCCCAGGGGGTGCCTGTGCCCTACAGCCTTTGGGTGGTTGAAAATACCCCAAATCATAAGATCAACAGCAAACCAGTTTGTTCTAGCCACAGATTTCAATGCAGGGAAGAAAGAAGCTGGAGAAAAAGCTGACTCACTCTCACATGTTACACTCAAGATGACTCAAAACAGTGGAGTGGGTGGCCCTCTGAACAAGAGGCACAGCACTCATTCACACATGGCATGCATGTGATTCCCAGGGGTTGGTACATCGGGAACTCTGTCCCTGGATTTGACAGAAGGAGGAAGCAAAAGGAACAGACAGAGCAGCAGTGGCTGCAGGAGGCAATGACAGCATATGAGGGTTGTCTTGTGGCCAGGGCTTCTCTCTTCAGGGAAAGACTTGGGCGCTGAGCCGTGCAGTTGAGACCCATGGATAGGTTTGGACAGGTGTCTGGCCTGACCATATGAGGTCCAATTGAGGAGAATGTTGTGGCCAGTCACCTGGCCATTGTTGGAAGACTTGACAGATTCTCCCAGAGTCAAGGGCAACAATGTGCAACTCATTCTCTTTTTTTGTGACATAATGGTATGGCTAACAGCTGGAGTTAGGTGACGTTCCCAGCACCAACATTCCAGTCTTGCCCTAGAAAACCTAATTAATGAAGCAGCATTGGCATTAGATACAAAAAGTGAATTGTTTTCTTCTCACTAAAATCGGCAATGGTTTTCAAATCCTATGTTAAGCCTATTTAAGCAACCAGTCTGAAAATAGTGGCCATCCACAATCTGACAGAAAAAAAAATCCTAACTGGACCTCAGATGTGGATTTAGGAAACCCCAATTTTCTAGAGCCTTTTGGCTTACTTCTTTCCATTGCAAAGGCTGTGAGGTTTGCCTCATTTAGAGTGATTTAGGAGCACTGTGCTTGACCTGGCTGAGTTGTCAGTCCTAAGATCCTGACTGGAGGGTTGAAAGGGACTCATTGTAGCCTGGATGATTCATTGTCAACTGTTCCTATAAAGGACCAACAAATAAACATATTTAGCTTTTCAGGCCAGGTCTCTGTTGCAACTGCACAACCCTGCCCTTGTGGCATGAAAGCAGCCACAGACAGTATGCGAATGAATGGGCATAGCAGCAGCTTGCCAATAAACTTTATTTACGAAACCAGAAGACGTTCAGGGTTCATTCACTTTTTGCCAGAGTTTACAGATATGTTACCTAAACCATGAAAACTAAATCCTAGCTCCTTGAAATTACTTAGAATGTTTCACACAAGGAGAGACTAACCAGAGCTGGGGAACCCAGTTACCCTCCTGGAGAATTGGCAATCTTTCCACTGTCCTTTACACTACCTGGAGGCCATCAGGACTGGCTTTGTGTTTGCAGTAGGGCCAGTTGATATGGGTAGCAGTACTGGCACTGGCTTGTGTGAGATCTAGCAGAGGCCTATTCATTGGCCTCTGGTTCTAGAAGCAGGAAGGAACCCTGTATGTGGGGCCAGGGAGACATCAGAGAGGCAGCTGTTCTGTGGCTTGAAAAAATAATGAAAGTGGAGTCGGTGTGTGAGTGACTGTGGAAAAGCCAGAGAAGGAAGAGGCTGATTCTCAGGCAAGTTCTAAAGCCTTGTCCTGCAGGCTGGAGGGGATGCAGGCGTGGCTCAGAGCATGTGGCCACAGTGGCGGGGAGGTCCAAGTATTGTGGGAAGCACTTCCTTGCAGAATATAATGCTGATGTGAACTGAAGACAAGAGTAGAATGGACAAGGAACATGTAGCAAAGCACAGGGCTGTCTGAACAGAAGCTCAATGAGGAGAAGAGGAGGGAGATGATTTGGAGAAAAAGGGCCAGAAGTGTAGATTGCAAAGGGCTGCTGAGGGCCCCAATTTTAATCAGACCCAATCAGACACACGTAGCTATGACACTGAGCTATAAGAAGACCATGAGGATAACTAGTAGATCAAGACAGGTGAATAGGAGCAGGCTTGGTACATGCAAATCCAAGTGTGGCCATTTTCAGTCTTGGCCTCCAGGTTAGGGCCAGTGGACTCTTAGGCCCAGAGCTCTGCCATATTCCTAGATGGCTTCCAGCACTACACAGAGATGTGGACAGAGAAGAAGAGTAACAGGGACAGTCCAGAGCTTTGGGCCTAAGAGTCCGCCGGCCCTAACCTGGAGGCCAAGACTGGTAAAGTGAAAGAGGGCCAGGCAGGAACAACAATGTTCGAGAGGCTTGAGAAGTTTTCAGAAATGGGAACTCAAGTGTGTGCTGTGCCCCTGAAGGAAGAACTAAGATGCAGGTGCAGAAGTGGCCACTGGCACACTCTTTGGAGAATCTCAGTATATTTGTCTTCCACCAAATTGGAATTCAAATTGAGCAAAGACCTCAGGTGTCACCTAAGCCATTCCTGTTCCCAGGGTAAGGACCAGGAAGGTAGCAGGCATCAGCCTATTGTTCCAGGATATCTACACCTGTCAGAATGTTTTCAACACCAAGGCCCAGACCTGTAAACCCTTACCACAGTCTAGCAAAGCCACCCCATTCCCTACAAGTCCCCCAGTGTGTGAACATTCATCACGCAATGTGCCAGCCCCTGATGTGGGCACAACTTGCCAGCACCAACTACCCATTGACTGTCTCCTCTCCTTTCCTCTCCCTCTTTTCTCCTCTCCCCTCTTCCCTCCCCTTTCCTCTCCCTTCTCTTCCCTTCCCATCTCCTATGTGGGGTCTGTCCCTCCCCTCTACTTCAGATCCGGGTGGTGAAAGCATTCCGTAGCTCCCTTTATGAAGGCCTTGAGAAACCGGAATCCAAGAGCTGCATCCATAACTTCATGGCAACGCCCGAGTTTCTAATCAATGACTACACCCACAACATCCCGCTCATCGATGACACGGATGTGGATGAAAATGAAGAACGCCTGAGGGTCCCGCCTCCCTCACCCCCTAACCAGAACAACAACGCCATAGACAGCGGCATCTACCTGACCACGCATGCCACTAAGTCAGCTACCTCTTCAGCATTCTCTTCCAGGCCTGGGAGCCCACTCCACAGCATGGAGACATCCCTCTAACCAGAACTTCTCTCATCACATGCATACCTACATGCACACATGCACACAGTCACACACACACACACAGTCACACATGCACACATATGTGCATGTACACACAGAGAGGGGAACCTTGCACCTGCCAAAGAGGGAAAACCTGCTAAAGAGGCTAAAGACTTTTCTTATGTGGTATTTTCAAGAAGCCAATTGCATTCGATAAGGGCACGGCCCCATGAGGCTTCTCATTAGGCTCCCAGGAGGTGGAGGAAGGAGGAAGAAGGAAAAGGGAGGAGAGGAAGTTCTTTACCCAATGTGAAGAAAAAAAAAGAGAGCATGAGACAAGATGCACTTTCCATCTTTTTTTTTCTACTGATGCTTCTTTTTTAAAAAACACTAGTTCCACCATGTGTTCACCATTTGGGCTGTGCAGCATGGCAGGGGCTAGCTGAGCCTATCTGGAGCTTTACCATAACACACACACACACACACACACACACACACACACACACACACACACACACAAAAGGAAGTCATTGTGCAGACCGGCCACCGGAGGGAGCCACCTGCAAAGGTACCTTCTACTGCAAAGCACACTAGACCCATCTGCAAATCGCATGTGTGTGCGTGTGTCTATATGTATGTGTGTCTATATGCATATACATATATATATGGCAAATGCATATTTAAAGAATAAGGAACTATTTATCGGCATGATATTTCCATTCCTCTCACCAGGCGTTTTCCTTTTGAAGTTTCAGTTTTGAATGTAGCAAGGTTCTTTTCAGGGAACAAGACTGCAAGAACATCCTTTCAGTACTGTACTTCCCTCCCCAAGCACCTGGCCTGAGGATGTCCATGCTTGACCCTGCTGATTCCAGAGGAGGTAGTCTGGAATGTGTTGTGCAAGAACCTTTGCACTTTGAGACCTCTGCCTACAGAGGAAAAAGACTTTTCAATGGCATTTTATTTAAAAGGAAAATACCAAAGTATTGATGACAATACCCCGCCCCCTCCAGTACAAAGCAAAGCAGGTTTTAGTTTTGGCTTCCTCCCATTTCGTTTCCAACACCTTCATTTTGGCTGATGGCTTTCTTTGTCCAAGTTTGAAAGCATGAAGAACCCTAGGAACAGCTGTGAAAGAGCAGAGACAGGCGCCAGGCCTAACTGCTACAAAGGCCACCTGAGGAAGAGGGGTCATCAAAATCAAGATGCCAACTGCAAGGACAGTCCAGGTTCATCTCTGTCATTCCTCTAGACTTGCACTTTGTGCTTTGGCAAATGACAGTGAGTACTCAAAGGACCACCTCCGTGTCTCCCAAGTCATGGGCGTGCCACCCACCAAAGCATGCTTCCAACCCAGGTCTTCTTGCGCACAGGGAAAATACAACCCAGAAGGCAACACTATAGAAAGAGAGCCTCATGGGAAAATGGCCTTTATTACTGTTGTCATTGCTGTTTTCTTGCTGGTGGCTCTTGTAGGCCTGTGGGGGGCTAAGCACAGGGTCTACAGGACTTGGGCCCACCTAGGCAGGCGAGGCTAGGAAAGCAAGGTCTGGGATCCAGGAACCTATCCCATTAGTGTGGGCATCCGCTGTGCCAAGCCTGCTTTCCTAGAAAAAGTGATAACCTGGGGGAAGAAGGCAGAGGAGAGAGGTCTCATGTCTGCTGCCCTGCAGGGAAGCCCAAGCTGATGAGTCTCTTTCTAGTGGAAAACTGACCCTCCCCATATGCTTCTAGGTCCTGAATCTGGACACCCATAATGACACCAGTGAAATGGGCAGCATCCTGCCCTTGAGGTTCCTTCACCTTCTGAACTTATGAGTGTCACACTTTGCAGAAAGGTGTCTAGAATCTCACTCCACTCCCACACATGCTTGTCACTTGGCCCCGAGGTTTTCTGGCAGGAGACAGATGTGAGCTGAGAGATGGAGGGTAAGGACAGGCATCCTCAGGAGCTGCATTTGCCCCACTCCCATCCCACACTACCACACAGAAAGCTTGTCTCAGCTCCCAGGCATCCACACAAAATTTAATGGAAATGTGCTTTGTCCTCACTGGTCACACCAATGCCATGTCACCCCTGAACAGGATAGTCACATCTCGGGCAAAAGAATTTCAGTTACAAGAGAAACTCCACTTTAAAATGCCAGCTACAGATCACTTAAAGCCATCCCTTTTTTTCTAAAGGGCATATTGAGAATGTTTCCCATTTGTAAATTGTTCCCTGATGTCCTTGTTTAAACCACCACAACAAAAGGGCAACTTGGCTAGCTGAGGGTCTTTGTGTTCTTCAACAAGAAATCAACATGTGGAGGATTGCAGTTGAGGCGGGTCAGCTGTGTCCAGCTACGCTCATGGGCTTCTTGTCATCCTCTGTTGTAGACACACAGATAGAGCAAATGACAACTATATATTAAAAAGCCAACCCTCAATGCTGCTGTGTAAAGTTGCCTGGTGTCAATGTCGACTGTGTGATACCCAGGCTGCCTTTGTGCTGAGCTGTGGGGTTCAGAAAAGGCCCTGGAAACCGACATCATCTGTTCTGGTTCTTGTACAGTCTTCAGACCGAGAGACCTGTCTCACTGGAAGCTTCTCTTTATAAAGCATTATACTGTATGGAATGGCTTGGTCAACTGTGTTCAGTTCATAAATATGTTTTACATTTTTATCTGCTTGTTATAAAAATGAACAAAATATCTTAATAAGAAACATCACAGATGCATAAGAAATTAAAGTCTGTAGTTGAATTTCTTAATTTAAAGAATAGATCAAATTTTCTGTGTATAAAAATATGAAAGGCCCCTACAATCTTGGTCTGGGTCACATGAGTGATTTATTATTTGGTAACTCCCCATGTGGAACCAAACAAAGGTACCTGCATGCCACTGAGCCAAGGTAGGAGAAGCCACAAGCATGGCCTCCCCTGTGGACTGCTGCCCTGCTGGGTTCTATGACAAGAAGGAACACTGGTTCTGTAGGCAAGAGGCTCCCCCACCTGTGGGGCCTCCCACTGACTGATTTGACCAGGTAAAGCGTGCTGTGAATATCCAGGTCCGTGTCCTTCGATATGTCAATGGGAGAACTGCGGCAATTCTGTCTTCAGAACTTTTTCACCTTTCCAAACTTAAACTTCATGTCATTTCCCACCAACTTCCCACTCATCCTCCCCAGTCGCCTATTCTATTGTCTGTCAGAAAATCTGGCTGCAGCATTCTCATACAAGGCCTCTCTTAGAAGTAGGGTGAGAGAAGTATTTGTCCTTTTGTAACTGGCTCATTTCAGTGAGCATCACGTCCTGAAAGGCCATCCATGCTGTAGTAGATGTCAACCTTCTGTTCCTTTTTAAAGCTGGATAATATTCCATTGCTTGCACAGACATGCTGGGTTTATCCACACAATCACAAATGCTTGGACTACTCCCATCTTTTAGGCATTGGGAATACTACTACTATGAACCTGGGTGCACAAATTGCTCTTTGAGATCCTGTTTTCCTTTGGGAATTGATATATACCTAGCCACAAGATTGCTGGATCTAATGGTAATTGTTTTAATGTGTGCATGCATATGCACATGTGTGTTCATGTATGTATAGGTGTGAATGGCCTCGTGTGTGTGTGTGTGTGTGTGTGTGTGTGTGTGTGTGTGTGTGTGTGT